TTTCTTCTTTTACTTTATCTTATTTATACAAACGAGAAGGCCCACATGTTTATTTAATTTTTAAAATTTAATTTAATAATTTTTTTGTACTGCTCCCTTGCTATTATTGTAATACAGAATACAGTGCTAATAAAAATTTTAAGGTTTGTTCAATTTTTATTTATTTATTTATTTATAAATAATGTATTTTATTTATTTGTTTATTTAATTAAATGTAATTATAAAATATGATATTTATTTAATTATTTTTTTATTTTATCTTTTTTGTAAAAATGAGAAGGTCACCCAAGTGTTTATTTTATTTTATTTTATTATTTTAATTTAATTCATTTTTTTGTACTGCACCCTTACTATAATTCTAATACAGAAAACAGTGTTAATAAAAATGTGATTGTGTGTTTAAGGTTTATTTTATTTTTATTTTTTATTTTTAATAATGTAGTTAATGTATTTGTTTCATTTAATCTAATGCAAGTAAAAAATATGATATTTATTTATTTATTTATTTATTTTATCTGTTTTTTTTATTTGCACAAACAAGAAGGTGGCCCACATGTTTTTATTTTTAATTTAATTTTGTTTAATTTTAATTTAATTTAATTTTTTATTTTTTTTGTATACAGCACCCTTACTATAATTCTAGTAAAGAATTCAGTGTTAATAAAAATGTGATGGTGTGTTCAAAGTTTATTTTTAATATAATAATTATATTGTCATTTTACAGTTACAACTTTTTTTTTACAATTATAGAAAAAATATATTTGTTAATACATTTTATTTTTACTTATTTACTTTACTGCATTGCTATTTTTTATTGTAGTATTTTTATTTTTATTTATTTATTATTTTTTATTATTATTCTAAAATGTTGTAATTTAAAAAGTAAGATGGATATCTCTTATATCTCTTAACTTATTTCTTATTTAATTCATCATTCATTCCTTCGGCTCAGTCTCTTTATTTATCAGAGGTCGCCACAGCGGAATGAACCGGCAACTCATCCAGCATAAGTTTTAAACAGCGAATGCTCTTCCAACTGCAACCCAGTATTGGGAAACATTCATACACACTTATTTAGACACATACACTACAGCCAATTTAGTTAATCCAATTCACTTATAGCGCACATAAATGTCTTTGGACTGTGGGGTAACTGGAGCACCCTGAGGAAACCCACACGAACAGAGGGAGAACTTGCAAACTCCACACAAAATTGCCAAATGCCCCGGCCGGGACTCGAACCAGTGACCTTCTTGCTGTGAGGCGACAGTGCTAACCACTGAGCCACCATGTCGCCTTTTATTTAATTAAAAATGTATTTTATAATTTGTTCAAAACCATTATTATGCTTATTATCAAGGAAAATATGGTTACAATATGATTATTATGTTTTTAAAATTGCATGCACGGTCTCAAATGCGCAAACACTCATGCAGTGAAAGCAGGAGTGTGTCTGAAGGGAAAGAGGAAGTTGTGAGTCAGGATTCAGGAAAAGTCAAACCTCAGCCTCACCAAGCTTTGGAAACACAGTGGAACAATGAGGTTTATTTAGCTTCAGATGCTGCTGATTGCTGGTGTGAACTTCACTGTTCATTGTCACTGGATGAAGGAGAACAAGCAGCTCAACACCACCACTATTTTCAGCTAGTTTGTTTAAGATATCTAGCCTCTTTTTCTCCATTACAAAGATACAGGGAGGTTGTTCAGTTCACATATATAACCGTTGAATAAACACATGTGCAGTAATACAGTAAGGAGTAATTGATTCCAAATGACAAATAAAATCTTGCATAAAAGGAGGCATTTCTGTGAGGTTGGTCATTTATTTTTTACAGTTTTATTATGTGGAGTATGTGTAATATAGAATTATATATCATGTTTATATCAAAATATTTAGATTTTGTTGCTGGTTTTTAGAGATTTTGGGCTCTATTTTGATGATCCAGGCGCAAAGTCTAAAGCGCAAAAGCATTAAGGGCGTGTTCGAATCCACTTTTGCTATTTTAAGGACAGAAAAATACGATTTGCGCTGCGGTGCATGATCTAAAAGGGTTGAGCTTATTCTCTTAATGAGTTATAGGTAGGGCAGACATTTTTTGCTATTTCTGCAGAGAATTTTGGTAAAAATCTGCTAATTTCTGTGGAATAATTTTGGGAGTATCATAACTAAAACCTTAATATGTGAAATAAAAAATATAATCTTTTAAACTTTTATTTAATGTTTAAAATGCAAATCCAATTAGATTCACTTTATTTGGTGAACAAAGCAAGTCTCTCATATAATATATCTACTAAAAGACAGAAAAATATTACTTTACAAACTGCATTGTACATAAATCAGATGAACATTTTCATATTAGTCAATAATATTACTCTAATAATTTAAATACTGAATAAATATAGATTCACACACATTTACTCAAGTAAATAAATAAGATTAATCACAGGCTAAACAAGACCAGTTATCCAGCCCAATCTTGTCTGAAACAGGCGTCCTCTGACCCTTCAAAGAGAAGGTTCAGCATCATCTCTTTTGTATTCGGTGGTTAATAAATAATCTTCAACCCTCTGTCACTCACATCTCTCACCCATGGCCCCTTAGCTTGGCTGATGTTGCCAAATAATGTGCCAAGAATTTCCTGGCACTTGTTGAAATCAGACATTTTGGCTCTTAGCTTTTGACAGCCACATTGTAGTCGTGACAGGCAGCCGCTCTGATTGGAGGGTGCCATCCAATCACATTTGACCAGTGTGTTGGGTTTGACCGTACTGTTGAGTTCTCTTGGCTGGGACGATTGATTCATTGATTTGGGCTGTTTAAGAGGTACACGACCCTCACTCCAAAACACAAAAAGCCTTTTCACTGCAGACAGGACTCCTCTACTGACTTGGTTACACTAGTCATCACACGCTTGTGTACAACACAGTATTTGGATGCAGTTCTGTTTGCTTTTCACCATCCTTTGGTCTCATTGTGGACAAAGCATAAATGTAAATTGGTACTACTAATCGTGTTCTAATGAGGGTCTTTAATTGATTGATTACATCGATTGATTATCCAAATATGAATATTTATTCTGCCTTTTGTACTCATACTCTCAAGTTGTTCCGGTTTGTATCTCAGTTATTTTTAAGGCAGAGAAGTATGCGAAGTAGAACTACTTCACTATTGTACTTAAGTACTTAAAGGCTGTATCTGTAATTTACTGGAGTATTGTTTTTTTCTCCTACTTCCACTTTTACTTCAGTACATATTTTCGATGAGTTTAATACTTTTACTCCGATAGATTTTTTTTAAATGTGCTGCATCGTTACTTGTTACTAGGGGTGTCAAAATTATTGATATCGGTTTAGTAATAGATCATTACCGGTTATTATGTACTGACGTCATTTATCTCCTATGCACGATATTGCAGTTGAATACTATGGCGAAGGAGGCGAGGGCAAGTAAATAACGCTTTTACTACAATAAAGGCGGCACAGAACACAAGCCGCTATTTCACTAATATAGAGAAATGCTGTAAAACTCAATTTTTACCTATATTTTTATTTAACTCATCTCTCTCTCTCTCTCTCTCTCTCTCTCTCTCTCTCTCTCTCTCTCACTTTGGACATTTGACCTGATGGCTTGTTTGTGAGGAAACTTTTCCTCTCCTTTTGGCTGCTAAAGCAATACTTGTGAATCCAGACATGAGCGTGCCTGAGGTGCAAGTTTTCTCCACTGTATCTTATGAATTACCTGTGATAACCGCGTATTATGCGCATACAGACTGTAACCCCAGCTGTTCTTCCCACCATCAGTGAATGGCACTTTAATTCTAAAGCCGATCGCAGCCCTTTCTGTTGAGCAGGTGAAGACAATAACCAATCATGACCTCGCTTGTCAGCGCTCAAAAAGCAAGCGGGAAAATATTTACGTTAGATTTGTTGCTATAAATGCTCTTGCGGTCCTCCGTGCATGTATTGGAGTTTTGTTTGATACATTCAGAAAGAGCGTTTTCTTTGAGCAGGTCAAATTAAAGGTACAGTTCATATATCTTACTGCTGTATTAAAGAACAAAATTGTATTACAAATAGTATATGAATATGAGTACATTTGTAGATTTTAATCAAAAAATTCATGTGTTGTAAAGAAAAAATATAATTATGCATGGAAAGCATCGTCAATGCACCGAGATATCGAATTGAACTGAATCGATGGCATGGTAATCGTAACTGAACCAAACAGTGAGACCAGTGCAGATTCACACCCCTACTCCTTACAATTATAGACCTTTTTCTTGGCCACTGCATGGAGGGTGCCAAAGCGACCAGCGTCTTCCATAAGAATGTTTAGAACTTCCGTTTACATCGTTTACAACCGGTAAATTACAATCCGAAATTGGGATTCAATAGTATTTTGAGAGGATTATGGAGAGTTTTTGTGACACACGACTTTGAAAGGTGTGTATTAAAGCTGTTATAATCTGTCAGATCTGTAGTCCAAGCTCGAGAGAAAAACAGTATTCTAAGTCATGCTTCTTTTTTTATTCTGCTTAATCACATGCCCCTAAAAATATATTTAAAATCAACAAAACAATATGATGTGTTTTGACTGCTGTCTTTAAAAACTACATTACACAATACTTGTACTTTTACTTTCAGTACTTTAGTAAATTTTGAAATAAACTACTTGCAATACTTAAGTGCAAAAAATGTTGAATACTTTAGTGCTTACACTTAAGTATGGTGCTTAAAGAGCACTTCAACTTCTTCTCAAGTCACTTTTTTGATAAAGCACTTTACTATTACTTAAGTCCGGGTCTCTAGTATTTTGTACATCTCTGTTTAAAGAATGGTTTTGGTTTTGATTTAATGTGTACTTTAAATGGCTGCAAGATTTTCATTCATGCATGTTTGAATGTCAAAGTTGTAGATTTGTTCACGTAAATTGCACATATCCAGATCATCTCGGAGATCATGCTGTTTTTATGTTTTTTTTTTTTGTCATATTTTTGCAGTTGAGAGGTCGTAATGTCCTGCGTGTGGGTCTTCATTCTCTGGGCTCAGTGCTGTGGGGTGATGATGTGTGCTGTAAGGACAACTCCGCCCACTGCCACGCCCTTTCCACCTTTCTCTACGCCCTCAGAGGCCTGTTACGCACTTCACTTTCAGTGGCTATGATGACTGTACCCTCACACCTCATACAGGTATCATTCAGCTAACAGCTTCTGTGTTTGCTCTCATACACATTTACTGAGCTTTCTACGCAAGGCTGAAAAAGCCCTCGAAGTGCAACATGTCTGAACTTTGTATTTTGTCTGAGTGTCAAAAGATTGGGGTCTGTAAGATTTTTGAATGAATAAATTTATTTATTTATGAATGGATGAATTTATTTATTTATGAATAATTGAATAAATGAATGAATGAATGAATAAATGAATGAATTAATTTATTTATTTTAACAGGGACAATGCACAGAAATTACATTAACCTCAAAAGAGGAAAGATGCATGTGCCAGGTTGTAGCAGGATTGCTAATTTCCACCTGCAGTCGCTGGACAAGTTAAAATTAAAACAATAATATCCAATTAATTAAAAAGTCAGTTTAAAACATTCAAGCATAATTGCATATAAACTAAAACACTGACAACTCAAAAACTTTTTTTTGAACAGAAATAATACTTAAATTCAGCATACTGTAGGTGCATTGAATTGAACAAAATTGATTGTAAATGTTTACTGAATAGAGAATTAATATATCCTGAAATAAATGTATCAAGGTTTCCATAAAATATATTTGACAAACTGTCTTAAAAATAGTTCTGTCTGGTTTTTGAATTTGATTAGCTGATAGCCTTATGCCAGTAAAAGCACTTGTCCAGCCTCTTCACCCTTGTGTATTACTCCGCCCACACACAGCAACAAGCAGAGGACACTACAGTTTGACAAATATTGCTGCTGTTGGACAACATAATGTACTTTTTGGGCTTTTAGTCGAGAATGTAGTTGTTTAGATTGCAACTATGCAGTTTATTTATAAGGATAGTGCCTGTTATAAATATTTTTCATTTCTGAGAGACATCGCAAAGATGCAAAGATTTTTGAGCAAAGACGGTTGACAATGTTCATCCACAAGATGGCGTGAGAAAAACAGCATAACTTCTAACTACAGCTAATCAAATCATTATTAAACAGGTAAATGACTTTCTAAGTTGTTCACTCTCTTTTGTATGTTGTTGTGCTGTATTTATACCATAGAATACTTATAAAATGTTTAAAATACTTATAAAATTTATAACAGAAATAGTAGGAAATCTCTGTAGACTGATTGCATTTTATGCCGTTCAGCCTTATCATCTTAAAATGTGAGTAAAATCACCTCTTTTGTCCTCACTTCAGACATTACGCTAGAGAATCATTCAAACGCTAGCTCTAAAGTGACGTAAGTGAATGAGCAATGGTTTCTGATGTTGTGACTGCAGCTGCAGATGTGAATGAATGGTGGAAAAAAGAAAACGCCTCCTTTTAAAAATCATACATTTTGTAAGACTGAAATCGTACAAATTCGTACCAATAAGCCACTAAACTGACAAAACATAAAACACTTGCGTTTTCTTGTGAGATCAGGCTGGGTCATCGGCCTGTTGCCAACGCACGCCTCCCACCAGTGCCAATATACAGCCACATCGCACTGCTACTCATGTGAAATTGCTCATATATAGTATTGTTATTTTTTTTTAACAAATATAACTTAATTTAACAGTGTTTGACAACTAGAATGCTACATGCATATCTGGGTCGAAAAAAATAGTACAGTGTTTTATTTGTTATGTTTATATCTGTTAACTCATAATTTTTAGATATCTGAAAGTGAAATAACATTTTTGAGGTTACTAAAGAACCAGCATTCTTATGTTCCCTGTTTAAAAAATGATGCTGTTTTAAGAAATTCTGTTGAAATTTTATGTATTTTATTGATGGTCAAACCTATGGTGGTCAAAAAAGCTCAAACACACTGCAAGTCAAAAACATGCAATTAGGCAAACGTCAACTAATTGGGAAAAACAATACTATTTGATAGCAAATTCTTTAAACACATGCAAATAAAGAAGCGTGCTGCAAATAGCAGAAATATGTTGGGGACCCTAAAAAGTGACAGAATGGCTGCTTTCTCTTTATAGTCAGTGATGTTGTCAAACTGATGACAATGTTTTTCATAGTGTCGTATTTTCTAATAGCACGTTCACACTACAAGACTTAGTGCTCAAATCATTTTTTTTCCCCCTCATGGTTTGGCTCTTATTTTTTGAGCCAACTGATAACAGTCAGTCCATCTCTGAGCATTTTTTGAAAAAAAAACTAAGGTAGACTTAAACTGAAAGGGGGGTTCCATGGCCCAGTTTTACAGTTATAAGAGGCCTGTTGTGAGGCAGCCATTATTCTGAATTGGCCCTCAGTGAATATTACTTCTTACACATGAAGACAGTTCCTAAACAACCAAAAAGCAACATCTAGCTATCACTCACAACACCTCAGCATCTTGGTGATTGGTTTCACAAAGGAAAGAAATGCAATATGTTTAGTTTACACACAGTTATTTTTTCCTATCTTTCTCAACTTTTGAATATTAGAGCACCATCATGCAAGTCTTTTTGACATTGTCCTCCAGAACTAACTCCACAAAACAGCCGTTTTTTTCCCAACTTGACTGTCAGTCACATTGACCAGCTCTGAGGTCACCATAAGTTTTCGACCCTGGCACACCATAACCGCCCCATGAGCCGGAGTCAAAGAGTCGCCCCCCCTCCACTGTGTGAATGAGGATCCGCTTGGCTGGGGTTCAGGGGGCCTATGTGCGTGTGTGTTTGTGTGTGTGTGTATCTGTTTGACTACATGTATGTTTGGCCTTCAGTGGAGCGTCTGCATTGGCGCGTGAACCCGCAGTCTTTGTCTGAGGCCCTCAACTTCGCATTCAGCCAGCCAATGGTCAGTCTCCAGTCTTTCTGGACGCTTCTGTCATTCAGCGTCTCTGGGTTCCTGAGAGGCCCTTTTCTTTGTGCCTCTATTAGCTATCGAGAGTCAGGCCTCAGCCGCTGTGCTCTAAGAGCGCTTCAAAGACAACATCTCACTGTTCTTTGTCCGTTTGGAGACAAAGTGCTAAAACCCCTCTCAGGGAGGCTGGGGGGCACACAGCGGTTTTCAGTAGTGGAGGTGATGGAGGAAACGCTGCCATTGGGTTAAAAGTGGTTTTGTAGAACGGATGTGATGTAAATGTGTTGACTGTAACTGTGATGCACTGTATGATGTAACTAGTCACATATAGATTTTGAAGTCAGAATTATCAGCCCCCCTTTATTGATTTTTTTTGCCCAATTTCTGTTTAACGGAGAGCAGATTTTTTCAACATATTATTAAACATAATAGTTTTAATAATTCATTTCTTATAACTGATTTATTTTATCTTTGCCATGATGACAGTAAATAATATACTAGATATTTTTCAAGACATTAGTATTTAGCTTAGTGACATTTAAAGGCTTAAATAGGTTAATTAGGGTAACTAGGCAGGATAGGGTAATTAGGCAAGTTATTGTATAACGGTGGTTTGTTCTGTTGACTATCGAAAAAAATATAGCTTAAGGGGCTAATAATTGTCCTTAAAATTGTGTTAAAAAAATTAAAACTGCTTTTATTCCAGCCAAAATAAAACAAATAGGACTTTTTACTTGCTCTTTCAAACATCATTTGGGTAATATTTAAAAAAGAAAAGGGGCGAAGCAGTGGCGCAGAAGGTAGTGCTGTCGCCTCACAGCAAGAAGGTCACTGGGTCGCTGGTTCGAGTCTCGGCTTAGTTGGCGTTTCTCTGTGGAGTTTGCATGTTCTCCCTGCGTTCGTGTGGGTTTCCTCTGGGTGCTCCGGTTTCCCCCACTGTCCAAAGACATGCAGTACGGGTGAATTGGGTAAGCTAAATTGTCCGAAAAAGAAAATGAATGAATGAATGAATGAATGAAAAAAAAATCACATTTTTTAGGAGTATTTTCTATAGGATGCATCACATTAATATATGTGTGCTTATAAATTATATTTAGTCAGTACCAGAGCCAAAACTGGATCTAATCTAAAAAAAAAAAAAAAAAAAACTTGAAATCAGAGTCCCAAACTAAGTACATTAAAATCTATATGTTGGGGGAAATATTAAATAAAATTTTAATATCAAAGACAATTAAAGAGAAACATAAAGTTTTGTTAAAATTGTATAGTTTTAAATGTATTTATTTGTTTTTTGCAATAACTTGTAATTAAATGTATTATTTTTCTATTCCTAAAGATTTTAGTTGACTAAACTCTAAACTAAATGTTTATCACATCTGACGTGTAAAACCTATGCCAGGTTAATTCTGTTGTGGCAACCCCTGATAAATCAAGAGTCTAAACTGAAGGAAATTGAAGAAATGAACTGTTTTGTTTAAAGTCCCCAAGAAAACTGTTTGTTTGGGGCCAGTGGTTGTTTAAGGAAAGATTGAATTGATCACAGTTAGAAAGATGTAATGTTGTACTGTTACAAAGATGTTCTTTTGAACTTTATCAAAGATTTGAAAAATCTAAATAAAAAAATCAAGCAGACCAAAATTTATGATAATAATTATTATAATAATAGAAATAATAATAATACTAATACTAATAATAATAATAATAATAATAATAATAATAATAATAATAATACATAGGAAAGGATGTTTTGACACTGAAAATTGTAAAATGTATTATGACTATTACTATTGCACATCTTTTTGATTTATAAATTGTAAAGTCTACTTTAACTTAAGTATTTTATGTAGAAGTACATAGTGTTAATATTAAAACACTTCATATCAGTGTATCAGGTTTTCTATGTGCAGAGCTAGGGATTTTTAATGCACTGTTCATTAAAGGTAGAGTAGGAAATCTTCTGTGGAAAGTTTAAGGTGAAATTTAATTAATTTGTAATTTAATCATGTCATAATTAGAGAGATGTAATATTGTACTGCTACAAAGGATTGCTGTTCTATTGAACTATCAAGGAATGAATAATTTTTACAAATAAAAATATAGAAATAATTCAAGCAAACCAATATTTATGACAAGAATAAATATTTCTTAAGCAGCAAAGCCTCATTTTAAATCTTATTCAATGCAGTAATTGGATATTCTACTTAGTTTTTATTTT